TCGCGAAACATTAGCCGTTCCGAAAGAATACAACCTAACACGGCTACCCCCTGATACTTGACACTAGTTTTGTGAGATTCCTTTGTAATTCTTTGCAGTCTGCTTTAGACTTAACTGTTGTGAGTAATTTTGTATTGTCTGCAAATTTTACCACCTCACTGTTTACCCCTTTTTCCAGATCATTTATGAATATGTTGAATAGCACTGGTCCCGGCACAGACCCATGGGACACCACTATTTGCCTCTCTCTATTCTGAAAACTGGCCATTTATTCCTACTTTCCTGTCTTTTAACAAGTTACTGATCGATGAGAGAGCCTTCCCTCTTATCCCAGGACTCCTTACTTTGCTTAAGAACCTTTGGTGAGGGACCTTGTCAAAGGCTTTCTGAAAATCTAAGTACACTGTATCCACTGGTTCACCCTTGTCCATGTTTGTTGACCCCGCTCAGAGAATTCTAATAGATTGGTGAGGTATGATTTCCCACTACAAAACCATGTTGACTCTTCCCTCAACAAATGTTGTTCATCTGTGTCTGATAATTCTGTTATTTACTATAGTTTCAACCTATTTGCCTGGTACTGAAGTTAGGCTTACCAGCCTGTAATTGCCAGGATAGTCACTGGAGCGTCTTTTTTTTTTTTTTTTTTAATTGGTGTCACATTAGCTATCCTCCAATCATCTGGTACAAAAGCGGATTTAAATGATAGGTTACATACTACAGCTAGTAGTTCTGTAATTTCATATTTGAGTTCCTTCAGAACTCTTGAGTGAATACCATCTGGTCCTGGTGACTTATTACTGTTTAATTTATAAATTTGTTCCAAAACCTCTTCTAATGACACCTCAATCTGGGACAGTTCCTCAAATTTGTCAGCTAAAAAGAATGGCTGAGGTGTGGGAAACTCCCTCACATCCTCTGCAGTGAAAACTGATGCAAAGAATTCATTTAGTTTCTCCACAATGGCCTTATCTTCCTTGAGTGCTCCTTTAGCAGTTCAGTCGTCCATGAACATTGTTCAAATGTTTAAAACTAACTTTTATCATTGGAATTATTAATGTGAGGAAACATTTGTTGGTCAGACTGTAAAAGTTTCTTTGCAAACTAAAATTTGGAGCAAAATTTAAATCGGGTGTCCCTCTTCACTTTGATGTACGTTATAAACTTAAATGTATGTTGTGTTTTTTATCTTAAAGCCTTACTAGAAAGTGTAAAGTATTAACATAATATGCCATAATCAGTTCACTGAGTCAATTTTTGTCTGTTTCAGTCAGTTTTTGGACTGTTGCAGACGCTAAATAGGTGGAGGTGGTGTTTAAAATCATGTAATGGAGCCTAAGATTTCACTTGTTCTTAAATGAATATAGGTAAGTAGAGAAATATAGTTCCAATCCTGCCAATGGCTCCATGCAGGCATACAAGTCTACCTAAATGGATCTTGTTATAGGATCAGGGTCATAGTTACTGTGTTCTCTGCTGCCAGGGTCAATTCGAACACTCTTTAAAACACAGGCTCTTGACAATGACTATAACACTTTTTTGCTTCTTACTAAATTTTTGTTTGAAGATGGTGTATGCACAGAAACAGATTAAAAACAACAAATGCAGTACGTAGCCACTTACACATTCATCCCAAAATACCTAGAGGCAGTATTCCACATTTTAAACTAAGGATCTGCAAGACATGATGCAGAATTTTTTGACTTACAAGAGAACCATCAAAGTACATGAAACCATACTTCTATCACGCTTGTAACTTAACTGGCTAAGGCTCAGATCCTGTAAAGACTAACGCACACATTTAACTTTATGCACATGTGTGGCCCTATTGACTAGGAGACTAGTAACATGCATAAAGCTAAGCATGCATCTTAAGGATTAGGGTCCAAATCCGTTTGAAAAGTTCTCCAAGCTCTTAATGGTAAGACTGAGTATGCATTGAACTTTTAGCTATTCAATACCCCTGAAAACAGAAGTTTATCATGTGAACACTAAAACTTAATTTGAGTGTAATTGACTGTGTCACTGATATTCAAATCAATTTTCTTGTTTGAGAACAAATAGCTAATGGGGTGGGGGGGAACCAAAAACCACAAAAAACCCTAAAACACACTACATATTGTTCACATGCAAACTTTAGAAAGTTTGCCTTACAATAGCTAAGATGTTTTTAAACTTTTATTACTGGGTAAGGTGGATAATATGACATCTAGTGGATCAACATATTTAGAATACCGGAGCTTTTGGGGCTCAGAAGGTCCTATCAGCAGGTATTAAACCAATGTTCACTAGAATGTTCACTAAATCAAGAAATAATTAATCCATCAGCTTTTGAGCCAGCACCTGACATTGGAACTTTTTTGGCCTGAAAGCTTCTAACTCAAGTGCCAATCCTGTAAATTCCTCTGGGTGAACTTGAGAACCTCAGTGGGTCAAAATACTCAGGCAGAGGTCTGTCCATTGGATCCTGTACTGTAAATTACTTTTTGACTAGTAAAGGGTGTTTTTTATCTTTTCCACTTTCTAAGACCAATACAGCTGCAAACATTTTCTGCAGGTTACTGGGTAATGCATCGTCTTGAAATTGATCAACTGGTTTAACCAGAAGTAAACCTTACTATAGTATTAATTGCTATAAAGAAAACATTCTTTGTTTATATTCTAACTCTGCTTTGTGCCTGAAATTTTTTGGTGTTATCCACTTTCTCTGTAAGTCTGATTCTTGGTATATTTTTCACTGTTTAAATTCTATTTTCTGTTGAATTAACTGTTAAATTAAGAATACAGGAGAAATTTGACTCATTTTAAAAAGTGCCCCAATATTTCTGTTTCACCATGTAATAGCAAATAAGGTGCAAAATAAAAAAAAAAACACTAAGGCAACCTTTTATCTTGGAAGTGGGAGAACTGACATCTTATCTCCTGCTTTCATAAGCACTGAGGGCCAATAGTTCTATGTGGGACACTAGTCTCACTGTGTCGATCTAAAGCTAGGGTCTTTTCAGTGTCTGACTAAAGATACCAGCACAATATCTAGAAAATTCAGTGTGCAATAGATAAAGCAATGCTAAACAGGCAGAACTTTGGAGATTTATAACGGGACATTTCCCAAGAGTTGCTAATAGGAAAGTGGCTGACATTTTGTCATTGGTTGCCAGGTTTCCAAGTGTATCTGACTGAGACTTGTGTGTGTGTCAAGGTGGATGAGTAAAAACTAAATGAAACCAAAGTTAAGAATTTATGTAGACCCCCTACCACCACAGCAGCAGTTTACCCTTGTTAAGGGATGGGGAACAAATCTTTAAGTGCTTTTTGTAACTTTTTTTCTACAGTGGTGCATTACTGAATGTCTTTATTGTATGTTAAATTGTATATGTACTATATATGTTTATATTGTTGTATGTAGTCCAGTTCTTTTATAGCTAAAGAACAAAACAAAAATTAAATAAATATTATGCTAACAATGAGAACATGGTATGATTTTGTTCCTCTTCCTAGAGATATGTTAGGTGTATGATTTAAGTAGATGGCTTGCTGGTGGCCCTGTGGGATTTTCTGAATCAGTGCTGTAATTTGTCACAGTGCTTTTCTTGTGGGGTATAAAGTTTCAGTGGGAATTATAATGGAAGACATAGAAATGTTTATAGTTTCACTATCCATATAATTATTTGCAATTCCCATTTCAAGGAAAGTGAAATGATGATAATCTGTATTCCAAACATTCTAATAAATAGCTTAAAAGAAAATTAAGTGACAAGTTGACTTGTATCCTCCTCAAACTCCATAATCTATAGTGCTGAGAGAGCTACCCAGTCTCTGCAACTGCGAACAAGAGATGTCATTTCATTTTGAAAGTGGAAGGGACCCTCCCTGTTCACATTAAGCAAAGGAGTCTTTCGCTGATGTCCTAAACCAAACAGCCCACTCACCTGTCATTGTGTGCCATGATGGGCACTAGTCTAGACATTCTTACCCTCTGCCGGGGGAAGGCTTACAGAAATGGGCATGGAGGGGCGGAGGGTGTAAAATGGGCTTTAGGCATCACGTTCCCTCCTGGGGAGCATGTGGGACGGCGGGTGCGAGACGAGGAAAATGCAGCCCACACTGCAAGGCGAGCTCGAGCAGCGGAAGCTGCTGCGTTGTGCCTGCAATCGGTGCGTTGCCCCTTTAATTGTGTCCCCAGCCCTCGGGCGTCTCTGTCCAACGCCCACGTCAGCAAATACCTTTTGTTTCTCTCACGTTCGGGCTTCCAGCGGTAAGAGCGGCGGGACCCGCAAATTGCATTCAAGCGGCCAAGAGCCCCAGCCCGGGGGTTGGGGGATCCCGCACCCACCTCCCGCTCTCTCCGGCTCAGCCGCCGCAGCCCGCGGAACCCAGCCGGTAAGTGGCGGCTCCGCAGCCGGGCGGACTGGGCGCTGGGCGCTGAACGGGCCCCCCCCGGGCAG